TCGAGGATGGAAGACAGCACTTTTTTCGGATGTGTCTGAAATAATAAAGTGCCAGTGTCTTTTAGATTTTGCATCACTCCTCTGTTTTCCTTCTGTAAACTTCCTGCCAGACACTAGGCAGAGGGTGTCCAGACCCACTCAAGGGAGGGCAGGGGAGGGACCTGACCACAGAGTGACAGGAAGACACTGGATGCTGGGCCCCGATCAGCACACTGTTCCAGAGCCATGGCTGGGGCCCTGAAGGTTTGGCTTTTCCTGTCCTTGTCTGGAGTGAGCTTGGGTGGGCCCCAGCCTTCCAGGAGGGGCCGGGTGTCCCACTGGGAGATGCAGAGCCGCTGGAAGAAGGTGATGACACAGTGCAAGGGAGAGTAGAGTGTGGGAGCCCTCAGCGGGGACTGGTTTGAAAGGCGTATTTATCCCGGAGAAGCTCCAGGTCAGTGGTACTGTGCTCATAACTTGGAGCACCAGTGTATACATTTTCATTAGGACAGTGGTCACTGAAAACGATTTTAAATTCTTTAACCAGTCTACCACTGAGAATTATAGCCCTTCCCCACTTACAAAGGTAAATGTGAAAGATTGCTGCTTGTCTTTAAGTAGCTGAAGCCACAAATGGCAAGCCAGTTTGGTTTGGCTCTTGTTTGCATTCTTAATTTTGGTCTCAAGTAATTACCATAGAAGATATGATACACATTTCTTTTTTTTTATCTTATTGAGTTTATTGGTACTTTTTAATTATACAGTACAGTTACATTCATCATTGGGATCTTGTACCATTACATGACAGGTCTTAGTTCCCATTTTTCCCCATACCCTTGCCGTCCCTTCACCCCCTCCACCCTCCCCTATTGACAAAGACTTTGTTTCATTTATTTCCTTTTGTCCTATTTTTTTCTTGTCCCTTATTTCCTTTCCCTGCCCTTCCCACTTCCCCTACACCTTTAGATACACATTTCTTACACAGCTGCTTGTATGATAGGAACAGGCTGTTGGTAAATACAGCAGAGATCCAGGAAGGCTGACCTTATCATCAATAGAATAAATAATTTCTTTGCTTGATGTATGTGGTTATCATGACAAGTACCAATAAGAGGCTATCATGGATTATAAAAAAAGTCTCAGCCTTCTTAATAAACAAGTATTCGTTGTTCGATAACAGTAACTTTGTCATAGGAATTAAAGATGAGTAGCATGTATTTGTCTTCCAGCGCTTTAAATGATTGTTACCTTCAGATTGTTAGCTGATGAGTATTTTATATTTCCTAATTCTATCTACTTCCTGTATTCAGTGCAGAGCTGAATGCGTAGTAATATAAGCCTGAGACCTCTCTGGCATATATTAAATTATGTGCATCATTTAGCTAAATGTAAATTGTGTTGTGCTTCCTAAGTACATAATTTCCACTATTTATCAGATCCAGCCATTAGATGATTCTGAAAATTCTCATCCTGTTCTCAGTGGCGTGTTTGTTTCAGGAGTTGGCTCTTTGGGTACCAGATTACAATCAAGAATGAAACGCTTCACACTTTCGTGGTACACTGTATCAAAGGTTGTCAAGCAGCTTTGAATATCTGAGATAATTCTCCCTACACGGTGACTAAAACTGGCCGAAGGGAAGTAAAATTTGAGTCATTTCTAATAATGAAGACAATCTGAAAAGCTTTCGGTTTGATGTTTCTTTCCACTAATTTCTTATTTCAAAGTCTGATAGCCTGTATTTAACTTCTTATTTATTTCTTTTAGTTGTATGTGCTTAATTGATACATCATTATAAATGGGAAGCCCTTAAAAATATACCTTGTCTCAGTTTCCAGTCAAAAATAACCTTCAAACTAGCCTATTCCCCAGAATATTTCTGGTTCCAGGCTTGCAGCACCCCTCCCGTGGTGTTACTGCAGATCTCCCATATATTGTTCCTCTACATTTGAAATAACTCCAACTTGCTTAGCACTTGCACATCAGATTTTCCTGGCTTTAGCCATTTTTGTGTTTCTCTTTGAGCTCCAGTAATGCATCAGTACCCCCATTTATCTTTAAACGACCGGCTGTCTTGGCAGGCTTGGCCCATGAGGAAGGGACACGGAGAATAGCTTGGGGCTTCTGAATCTGACTGTGTCATCACCCGGCCATTTTGACTTTAAAATATAACCGTGAAGAATGCTGTGTCAATAGACGCCATTACAAAATAGAAACCTTAGCTTTGCCCTTAACAGTATCTGATTTTGATGTCCTCACTTATTTTCTCGGAATTACAGTTCCTTTTATGACGAAGGGAAAACGCCATCTGCTACAGCTGAATGGTGAGAGAAATTCAGATAGATTTTATTAGAAAAGAAATATATCGCCCACGAAAAAGTGCTGCAGAGAACAAAGACCATGCTAATATTATAATATATAAGGGGTAGTAAAGCCTGCCTGTGTTATCTGTTTCTAGACCCTTTGTTATGAAAGTTGTCTTCTGACCAGGGAGAATGACTTCGCTGCCTCCTGAGTCCCTCTGCCTTTCTGAACCACGACATCCCCTATAAATTGAGTTACAGAATCAATTCCATTTCACTTGCTAATAAAAGCTAACTCCTTAAGGCCCATGCTGAAGTCAGCTGTGAAGAATTCTTACAAAATGGTTGCTACTTACCTTTTGCTAGAATTTTAATAAGCTTAGCAGAGTAGAGGCGCTCTGATGTCTCCCATCTCTTTCCTTTTTCAAAGTGACATTTTATAAAATAGAGAATACAGCAGCTAGTTGGTGCTGGCATCAGCATCTTGGAGACTGAAGGCCTTTGCATGTCAAACTATTGCTTGTCTTTGGTCTACAGAATCTGCTGTACTTCCTACTTCTCTCTAAACGGATAAACAAACTTGAGATAGGTCTCTGTTGATCACTTTTACAAATAACGCAGTGGCAGGGAAGCTGCTAAGCTGACATTATGGTTTGACTCTTCAGGGACTGAAGACCCTGTGTAGAAGGCTTGGTCCTCAGCCCAGCAGCATTGGGAGCTGGCGGGCGCCTCAGGAGGCCTGGCTTGCTGGCCGGAAGTTAGCTCGCTGGGTGCCCTTGAGGGGATATTGGGAACCAGCCTGTTCCCTCCTCTTTTTTGCTGGCCAGGTGCTGTGAGGTGAGTGGCTTTTTTTGTCCCCTGTTCCTGCCCTGCTCTGCTGCCCTCCCACCGGCCCAGAGCAATGGGGCCAACTGACCATGGTTGGAAACCATGAAACCCTGAGCCAAAGTAAACCTCTCCACCTTAAAAATTGATTTGTCCTCAGGTGTTTTGTCTCAGTGACAAAAAGCTGACTAACACAGCTGGACAGTGTTATTTGAACTCAGGTTTGACTGCTTCCTAGCTTATGGTCTGCCGTTTCTCTTGCTGTGTCCTACTCTCATGACTTCTACTGAACTCTGCACGGAGAGCACTGATGTGGTCGGTCAGTCCTGCCCTTCTTGAGAGTCCAACCTCCTTTGCATTTGTGACAGTTGCCTATTGAGCATTGCTCATGTTTGGCACTGTTCTAGGCCCTGGAAGTAGTTCAGGGACTGAGTCAGACAAGTCCCCAGCCTTGTGTTGCTTTCGTTATACTGGTCCAGGCCGAAAATGAAAATAAAAATACAAGTAATAAATAAGTAAATTACACAGCACGGTGGAAGACAGCGGGGACTATGGAAAAGTATGCCTAAGTAGAAAGAGGTGAGAGAGGAGAGGACCTGGAGGACCTGTTGGGGCAGGAGTGCAGTGTGAATGGGGTGGCCTGGGAGGCCTTATTAAGAAAGAAGTGTGGCCAGGGATTTAGCTCCGTGGTTCCGCTGCCTGCCTTGCAAGTGCAAGGACCTGAGTTTGATTCCCGGTACCAAAAAAAAAAAAAAAAA